CAAAACAAAAATTTGTGTATTAGTCGTCATGAATGATTGGTATGGTTATTTTTGGGTGCTTATCAATTTCAGAACAGGTAAAAAACGAATTCCATAGTAACTTTTTTACTCACCTATATTCGTAAAAGAGCTTCTCATTACCACGGTACTTATATAAGAGCAATATCAGTATTATTTAATACCCTATTTAATTCAACATCACTGGCGTCAATAATAATTTGGCAATTCTTTATAGCCTTCAAAAAAAGTATCGATATGAATTTGTCAATAATGACTATTAAAATATTGGTGTTGTTACTATTAATTTCGAGTATTACAATCGATTATTTTTTTAATTATTGAAAATTGAAGTAAAAAAATACTTTTGTAATAAAAATCTAAATTACGGGGGGATGTACTTTTTCGTATATGAAACCCATGAAGAAGGGCTGTAATTCTGCAACGCTGACGATTCTTAGTTAATTTTTATAATAGATACATATTGAAATATTTTTTTTCTTTCTGAAAGACTTAAGTAATGGAAAATAGACACTTATTTTGCTAGGAGAAATATAAAGAATTGCTATATTAATTACTCAAATAAATTGTGGTAATAATTTCTACTCATATTGCTTTAATTGAAGATTTTAGTAGGTACTTAAGATACTTGAATTTATACCAAGATATCTATTACATAGGCACTGTGAAAGTAAATACTTACGGAGTATCGAAAGGGATAAGTACCGGAGAAAATTATTTTTTTACTGTTAGGAATTTACCTCCAGCAATAGAATTTAGTCAAAAGGTATAGATTATAGTTAATCTTTATTTCAATGAGATGAACTTTATTTTCTAGAATCATGTTTTGCTCAAACCATCGGGAAAGGCATATAATAACGAATAAAATAATTGCAGCTTAATAAATTCTGTTGGTATACTTCTATAGTTTTGTAATGTTGATCAGAACCAATTTGTTTCTTATTTACTGTATTTCAGCTCGTATGAAGAATGGGTATTTAACTAGTATATACTTTTTTTTCATCGAATGATAAAACACGAAACAATACGCTAAATACTACAAAAACCGATTATTTTTTTTATGTGCCTTCGAAATATTGGAAAATCAAAATGAGTTACAAGCAATCGCAGCTGTTATAAGATTTTTCTCCAATTTAAAAATCGTAGTTTTTACATGAAAGTCCATCACAAAAATTTTTTTTCGAGATAAAAGCACAATTTTGAAATTTGATGCTTCTTACTTTTCTATTCGATAAAAAAATGAACTTTATTTTTCTTTCTCTAAAATACAGAAAACTTCTTTTTTATTTTGATTGATATTTGTTTAGTCTTGAAAACTAATGGCGTAAGTTGATTTATCAATACTAATCAAGTCAACCTTATGCTATTTTAATCAAATAAACCGATTGATTTATAGCTGATTTAAAGATAGAACTATTTGTTTCTATATTAATCTATTGTTAATGGATATATATTGTTATTTTTATTTCTCACTATATTTCAATTCTCATGTAAAATGTAAACGATTTATCGCTAGGCATTTACACTCAACAGATATTTATCGTCAACGAGTTTTCAAATCTGGACACAACTCGAGATGCATGTTTACGAAAATGGATACAGCTCAAATACCATGCTTTGAAAATAAACATAGCTCAAAATGTGTACTACTGAACCTAGACGCAGCTCAGATTGTATGCTTAAGAAAATGAACTTAGCTATTTATAAAGACATAGCACTTGATTTCATTTTACAAACTTCTTTTCTGTGTATAATTCTTTTTTTAAAAAAGTGCATTATTACTGAATGTTACTATAGTGAAATTAGAGAAATCTAATTAAGTTTTCAATGATACAGTTTTCATCGTTATAAATCACTTAGTCTATTTATTAAGCAAGACTTTTTTTGAGAAGCTTTTAAAATCCAACTGTCATTTTTACTAAGTTGTGGCGGAAACTATAAATGTACAGCAGTTGTTGTTAATTAGTAGGAATTTAGAGTTATAGTTTAGAGTTATGACTAAAAAGATATCGCTTGAAAAACTGCATATGCATTCTACCTAGCCAAACAGATCACGAAGCCCTTGATTGTAATTTAAAATCCAGCTACCTTTAATGACTCCATCTCTATTTTGGAAAAATTCTTCTTTTCTTTTATAGATTTTATACTACAAACTTTTATTTCTGTTAAAAGTTATTAACTGATCTGAAAAATATCCAGAATCAAGTTTGTATTATTATTTAAAAAATATCAAACTGCGGAGTGGGTCGTTGAAGACCATTGGATTAGAAAAACCAGGACTTGACCTGTAAATGATTAGGCTAAGAAAAATAAAAGTGAGATCAAAATTCCTCTCTTAGTTGTTAAGTTCCGGTTAAAAACTTACAGGATGCATTTTTTTGCTGCGTCATTTTTTACTAACACGGATTTCAAGCTGAGCCCTGAATTGAAAATTCACCACAGATATGCTAAACATTTGTGATAGAATATGTTTTGTTTGACATGCATTGCTGTCATCAGAAATTAAGAAGAAAAATTCTAAGCAATAGACGATGACAGAAATTTGTCAAAACCATATGTCGATTTGTAAACAAATCAATTTAGACATTGATTGATTTGTGCAGCTTGTTTAAGATATTGTTTACTGTTTTTGAGAAACACATCAGGTGCAATGAAAACATTTTTTCCTAATAAATGAGGTATAAATAACGGATGATTCGATTCCATTTATTTATTCTCGTAATACATTCAATCAAGTGGTAAGTATTACTTTAACCTATTAGAATTAATATCTATTAACTCGTCTAGAATATCTACAGTGTTTTTATAATTGCTTGCATCTAACATATGAACTGATTCTGCATTGATTGGTAAGAGCAATTTAGAAAAATAATCTTGGTAATTTATTGATATCATACCAAACAATTTCCAAAAATAATTTAATGATATTTGTTTCTGATATTCAACCTTCTTTACAATGTAAAGCTACGTATGGCTATTTTACACCAGGACAATCAAAACTTCAAATTTCCAATTTTATCCTGTTTTTCATCAATTATAGTTATATTTCATACTAAGATACATCAGTTATTTATAGTTATTTTATTTTTTTGACAAACATATTCCTGTCTCCGTCGCAAAACGTCACATGCGAGACAAAACCATTGAATTTATCAAAGATAATTTGATCAAATATTTTCAAACTCTTAACCATACAGTATTTTCTTTTAAATCCGTTTAAGTGTATTTATTTCCTGCTAAGACAACGAAATCATATCTAGGAGTAAAAAAGCATGCCTATTGCAGCCTTTTAATTACGAACAACAAAAAATTTGAACTATCCAGTAATATGAAAAACTTTAAAGAGAGTTCAAGCACATCATTATATGTTGTTGAAAACCTCAATACTTTGCCGAGGTATTTTTATTATTATGTAGCATTAAACATTTTGATTTGTTTACAAAACAGCAAGCTTCAACTTTTTATCTTATTAAAGTTACAGCACTAATATAAAATCTATTATTAAGCTTGCAGTGATATTATGATTTAATGTACAGTGGATAAAATGACCACCCAGAATAGCTTTTGATCTAATTATCGGATCTTAAAATTCAAGGAGTCATTTTTAATGGGATCCTGTGGCTGACCTCAAATATGCCAATTCATTAGCGCAGACATTACGAAGACATGCACAAAAGTGTATATTTTTTTTGAATAAACGTACCTTTTCTTAAACGGATTTGAATTTATGATCCCCAAAATATAGGGTGTAACCGCAATGCAGTAGTCCAAAATGTTTGTTCAAGAGAGAAAAAAGTCGCATTTTAAAAATGGGATTTTTCAGGAACTATTTGACCGATTTCCTTTAAATATTGTATTTTGCCATGTAAAATTATATTCTGTAAAATGATGTGAAAAAAATTGTAAACCTTGCAATTCAAAATTTTTCCAACTAATATTAAATCAAATTATAATAAAAAAAAATTAAAATCATTTTTTGTATAGAATTATCTTTGGGGAAATGAATTTTATAATGGTGTGTAAAAAGTTTTCATATTACTTCTAAATTTCTCGAGATATGGCGTAAAACAAAAAAAAAGCAACATTATCATGAAGGGATTCAAACTCCGGACCAAACTATAGGGACTATATTTCCCAAATTGCGGCTACCCCCAACAATTTTGTGGGGATGGTGTGCAGATATCCGAAACCGTTGAAAAAAGTTATGTTTTTTCAGAGAAAGTACGTTTTGAGTCTGATTTCGTAACTTAAAATATCATATGCACTAATTAATCAGCATACTTGAGATCACCCTCGGCAACCATCAAGGATGAGTCCGTGAAGATCCGATCATTACATCGAAAGTTACTCCGAGTTAAGGCTAAAGANTATTTCCCAGTTATGACTAAAAAGATATCGCTTGAAAAACTGCATATGCACTCTACCTAGCCAAACAGACCACGAAGCCCTTGATTGTAATTTAAAATCCAGCTACCTTTAATGACTCTATCTCTATTTTGGAAAATTTCTTCTTTTCTTTTATAGATTTTATAATACAAACTTTTATTTCTGTTAAAAGTTATTAACTGATCTGAAAAATATCCAGAATCAAGTCTGTATTTTTATTTAAAAAATATCAACCTGCGGAGTGGGTCGTTGAAGACCATTGGATTAGAAAAACCAGGACTTGACTTGTAAATGATTAGGCTAAGAATAATAAAAGTGAGATCAAAATTCCTCTCTTAGTTGTTAAATTCCGGTTAAAAACTTGAAGGATGCATTTTTTTGCTGCGTCATTTTTTACTAACACGGATTTCAAGCTGAGCCCTGAATTGAAAATTCACCACAGATATGCTAAACATTTGTGATAGAATATGTTTTGTTTGTCATGCAGTGCTGTCTTCAGAAATTAAGAAGAAAAATTCTGAGCAATAGATGATGACAGAAATGTGTCGAAACCATCTGTTGATTTGTAAACAAATCAATTTAGACATTGATTGATTTGTGCAGCTTGTTTAAGATATTGTTTACTGTTTTTGAGAAACGCATCAGGTGCAATGAAAACATTTTTTCCTAATAAATGAAGTATAAATAACGGATGATTCGATTCCATTGACTTATTCTCGTAATACATTAAATCAAGTGGTAAGTCTTACTTTAACCTACTAGAATTAATATCTATTAACTCCTCTAGAATATTTTCAGTGTTTTCATAATTACTTGCATCTAACATATGAACTGATTCTGAATTGATTGGTAAGAGAAATTTAGAAAAATAATCTTGGTAATTTTATTGATATCATACCAAACAATTTCCAAAAGTAATTTAATGATATTTGTTTCTGATATTCAACCTTCTTTACAATGTAAAGCTGCGTATGGCTATTTTACACCAGGACAATCAAAACTTCCAATTTCCAATTTTATCCTGTTTTTCATCAATTATAGTTACATTTCATACTAAGATACTTCAGCTATTTATAGTTATTTTATTTTTTCGACAAACATATTCTTGTCTCCGTCGCAAAACGTCACATGCAAGACAAAACCGTTGAATTTTCCAAAGATAATTTGATCAAATATTTTCAAACATTTAACCATACAGTATTTTCTTTTAAATCCGTTTAATTGTATTTATTTCCTGCTAAGACAGCGAAATCATACTAGGAGTAAAAAAGTATGCCTATTGCAGCCTTTTAATTATGAACAACAAAAAATTTTAACTATCCGGTAATATGAAAAACTTTAAAGGGAGTTCAAGCACATCATTATACGTTGTTGTAACCTTAATACTTTGCCGAGGTATTTTTATTATTATATGTAGCATTAAACATTTTGATTTGTTTACAAAACAGCAAGCTTTAACTTATTATCTTATTAAAGTTACAGCACTGATATAAAATCTATTATTAATCTTGCAGTGATATTATGATTTAATGTACAGTGGATAAAATGACCAACCAGAATAGCTTTTGATCTTATTATCGGATCTTAAAGTTCAAGATCTCATTTTTAATGGGATCCTGTGGCTGACCTCAAATATGCCAATTCATTAGCGCAGACATTACGAAGTCAGGCACAAAAGTGTATATTTTTTCTGAATAAACGTACCTTTTTTTAAACGGATTTGAATTTATGACCCCAAAAATGTAGGGTGTAACCGCAATGCAGTAGTCCAAAATGTTTGTTCAAGAGAGAAAAAAGTCGCATTTTAAAAATGGGAATTTTCAGGAACTATTTGACCGATTTCATTTAAATATTGTATTTTGCCATGTAAAATTATATTCTGTAAAATGATGTGAAAAAAATTGTAAACCTAGCAATTCAAAATTTTTCCAACTAATGTTAAATCAAATTATAATAAAAAAATATTTTAAAGTCATTTTTTGCATAGAATTATCTTTGGGAAATGAATTTCATAATTGTGTGTAAAAAGTTTTCATATTACTTCTAAATTTCTCGAGATATGGCGTAAAACAAAAAAAAAGCAAAATTATCTAGAAGGGATTTAAACTCCGGACCAAACTATAGGGACTATATTTTCCAAATTGCGGCTACCCCCAACAGTGGGGATGGTGTGCAGATATCCGAAACCGTTGAAAAAAAGTTATGTTTTTTCAGAAAAAGTACGTTTTGAGTCTGATTTCGTAACTTAAAATATCATATGCACTAATTAATCAGCATACTTGAGATCACCCTCGGCAACCATCAAGGATGAGTACGTGAAGATCCGATCATTACATCAAAAGTTACTCCGAGTTAAGGCTAAAGAAAAGCAGGGCTGGTTCATTCCTCTCTTAGAGCTGAAGCTACAATTTCTCTCCTCATGACGTCTCTCCACACACAAATCTCGTAGATCGCAAGCAAAGATGTTATGAAAACTCAGCATCATTCTCACTGTAAAAATGAGTTCGACTTTGTCTTGATATTAGCTTTCGAACTTTATACAATTAACACGTTATTTTCGTTCAAAAAAAATTTCTTTTCATAATATTAAAAAAAATACCATTTTAAACTGATAAAAATATTTTACTAGTTGTCGTAAATGACACTATAAATAGTTTATTTAAAAAGTTCAGTTTTAACTTTTATTAATTAAAAAAATTAAAGCATATATTGACACTTTTTTTAGCTACATATTGCTTGATAACAATAAGTTTGGTTAAATTTAGAGTCTTGATTTTAAAATATGCTGTCAATGGCAATTTGTTCATACTTATTAATTAAGAAACATCAAAAGTAAGCCCTAATTTCTGAAACAAAATAATAATTTAGGTTCCAAATAATATTAGACATTTTGCAATTGTTTAGAAATACTTAAATTTAAGAGAGTATAATTAATAGACATTAAAATTTAAGGGAATATAATTTAAAAAAATCATAAATATTTAGAATAACAACATTAAAAAATATGTTATGAAATTAGGAGAATTTTAACTATTAATTATTTATAAATTTCATTATAATTTTCTTGACTTCATCTATTTTTTGATTTTTTTGCCTGCCTTTTTTTTAAAGTAATATGAAGGTTTCTATTAAGATAGCGAATTCTCATAGAAAAGTCTTAAACGGCATAATAAACGTATTGCTGTTTTATATTAACTGGGTCATTTCGTTTGCAAAGTTGAATCGATTCGTTACATAGCGGTTCATTTACTTCAGGGAACGCCTGGAAAATTATATTTTTTCCTTTTGTGTTTCTATGAGAATTTTCGCAAGTTGCAATCGCTCAAACTGACATTTCGTTAATAATTTTAAATTTTTGCAATTCACTTCAAAAAACTAAAGAAAACCGTTATAGAAAACGAGAAATGTTTCGGAATTTGTCCCAAAGGAATACTCTAATATTAGTTAGAGCTAGTTAGACCGAATGCTCCAATAATATTTAAAGTAAGCTAAATCGAACGCGCCGTTCTTGGAGCAAAAGTGCAGGCTTTGCGCTGTTTTGACGTCACAGGAGGAAATCATAGCAAGGGCTTGGCGAGTTTTTCAGCCAGGACGTGAACCAGCACTTCTATTCTCTCTTTAACCCTAAGAGTGGCCCGTTTATTCACTGTACCTACAGTACTCCTGAGAGTGTATTGAATGGTTAAAGCTAAAAAATACTTTGAATTGAAAAAAGAAATTCTACTAACTGACGTACTTTAAAACAGCTATGTTCATGATTCTTTTTTATTACTTTTCAGAATTCCACAACATTAGAGAAAATGAACTGCTTCTCAGTGATGATATTGATCATGGTTTTTCTTCAATGTTATGCCGAAAGAGAAAGTAAATGCTTTTTTTCTCTTAAATTATGGAGTAATAAGTTTGAACGATTTAATTATATTAAGAACTGAATAGGATGGAATCTACAATTTTATAACAAAACATTCACATGCCTCTGCTCCAAATAATACACTGATACAGTTTTTTTACGATCCGATTTTTTTTCTTTGTTCAAACTCTTCATCACAATTGCAACTTACACTGTTTTTAAATATAATAATAAATATAATAATAATTTTTAAATAATTGGTTTTAAATACTTGTTCTTTCATCATATTCCATTCTTCTTATAATCTTCTTTTCTTTAAATACAAAAGGATGTAAGGATCTTACAAGTTATTACAGATCCATGTTTTGAGCTCTTAATGCCAATCATTACTTACNATTTACATAGCTGTTCATTTACTTCAGGAAACGCGTGGGAAATTATATTTTTTCCTTTTGTGTTTCTATGAGAATTTTTACAAATTCCAATATAATTTTATTAACAATTTTAAATTTTTGTAATTCACTTCAAAAAACTGAAGAAAACAGTTATAGAAAAGAAGGAATGTTTCGGAATTTGTCACAAAGGAATACTCTAATATTAATTAGAGCTAGTTAGAGCGAAGGCTCCAATAATATTTAAAGTAAGTTAAATCGAACGCGCCGTTCTTGGAGCAAAAGTGCAAGCTTTACGCTGTTCTGACGTCACAGGGGGAAATCATAGCTTGGGCTTGACGAGAGTTTCTTCCAAGGAGTGAACCAGCCCTTCTATTCTCTCTTTAGCGCTGAGAGTGGCCCGTTTATTCCCAGCACCTACAGTACTTTTGAGAGTGTATTGAAATGGTTAGAGCTAAAATATACTTGAAATGAAAAAAGAAATTTTCTTAACAGATATATTTTAAAACAGCTATTTTGATGATTCTTTCTTAATACTTTTCAGAATTCCACAGCAATTGAGAAAATGAACTCCTTCTCAGTGATGATATTGATCATGTTTTTCCTTCAATGTTATGCCGAAAGAGAAAGTAAATACTTTTTTTTCTTAAATTATGGAGTAATAAGATTGAACCATTTAATTATATTAAGAACTGAATAGGATGGAATCTACAATTTTATAACAAAACATTCATATGCCTCTGCTCCAAATAATACACTGATACAGTTTTTTTACGATCCGATTTTTTTTCTTTGTTCAAACTCTTCATCACAATTGCAACTTACACTGTTTTTAAATATAATAATAATTTTTAAATAATTGCTTTTAAATACTTGTTCATTCATCATATTCCATTCTTCTTATAATCTTCTTTTCTTTAAATACAAAAGGATGTAAGGATTTTACAAGTTATTACAGATCCATGTTTTGAGCTTTTAATGCCAATCATTACTTACTTTAGGAAAAGTTTTTCATAACATTAACAAAAAATCTCGTTTCCAGCTCCAAATTAAAATTTGACAGTAATGATAAGCTATTAATTTAAGATGAAATTTAATTGACGACAAAAATCTATTCATTGAATTTCCAATATAAGTGACTTAAACTCACTCAGTTTTAACAAGCTCAGATTTATTGTCGCTAATAACAAATACATTATAATAACAGTATTATTAAAAACTAAATTTGCATTGTAACACTAGACGCTTGTCTTAAAGTATGCTAATAATTGATGATAGAGCGTAATTTTAATTTCCAATTTTTCAAAAAAGCATTGTATTGGTAGACCAGGTGACAAGGGAACTCCTAGATCGAGTATTGGGAGAAATTTTGAATTCGTGGAGGACATTTTAATGGAGCAAACCCGCATTTGCGTTACATGGAGAGGAAAAAAAACGAGAACCTCCCATGGTTAGCCTGAAAGCAATGGGACTCTAACCCATGATCCCTGTACAACTGAGGATATATCATGTTATCACTGTGGTCGGTGCAAGCCCTATGCGGAATTCGTATCGACTGGGATTCAAGCCCGGTTCACCTCATTGGAAGCGAACTCTCTATCCCCTGAGCCTTCGCGACTCAATGTTTCAATTAGATCATCTCTCTAAAAATAATCATCCAGATTAATTTTGCTTTTATTTTGAATGCATTAAATGTATGAAGTCGGATTAGGAGCCCACTCTGATAAAACATAAAAGGCATTGCTTATTTTAAGTAAACAGACAAATGGTAAACTAAATTTAGTTCAAAAACATGGTCAAATATGGAAGGATAACTGAATTATTAATGGTTTTTAAATCCAGTCTTTTACGAAGATAATAAAAATTGAAGACTTTTGACAGCAGTTTTTGAATCCTTTCTTGATTTATATTTACATAATTATGGCCCGTATCATTATCCTTATTTGAAATAAGAAAATTGTAGTTCGAATCTTATAAATAATTAAATTATTGCACTGTATAAAAATATATTACATTTACATACATTTGAAGTAATTAGTAATTTTTGACTTTATAGTGGTACCCCAAGAACCTGTTGATGACTGCGGACCTCAAGGTGGTTGCAGGTTCACACACAGCTCAGGTTTGTTTGTTTTTTTAAATAATCCGTTTTAAATACTTGTTCATTCATTATATTCCATTCTTCTTATAATTTTCTTTTTTTAAATACAAAAGGAAGTAAGGATCTTACAAGGTATAATAGATCCATGTTTTGAGTGTCTAATGCCAAACATTACTTATTTTAAGGAAATATTTTCATAACATTGAAAAAAAAATCTCGTTCGTAGCTCCATATTACTATTTGACAGTATTGATACACTAATAATTTAAGATGAAATTTAATTGACGACAAAAATCTATTCATTGAATTTCAATATAAGTGATTTAACCTCAGTTTCAAGAATCTCAGATTTATTGTTGCTAATAACAAATGTATTATAAAGACAATATTAAAAATAATCAAGTTTGCCTTGTGACACTAGACGTTCGTCTTAAAGTATACTAATAACTGATAGTCCAGCGTAATTTTAATTTCCTATTAAGCAATTAATTTTGTATTGGTAGGCCAGGTATTTATTAGTAATGCAATACTTAGATATTTAGATTCGCGTTAATGGTACCAAATATTTATTAGTACTTTGAAAACTTTTAATAAAAATATAACCTTAAAACAAAAATTGCATTATATTAAAATATTTTGAGAAAATTGCATCCATGTCGATAACTAATTGATCGGGATTTTAGATTAAAAATGTCTCAAGGCTATAAGTTTTAGATTTAACGTTACAGAACGTTTTAAGTGTATTATAGATGCTTATGCTTTTTTTATAAAGGAACAATAAACTTATTCTTAAGATTTCTACATGAGTTAAAATTCTAAAAATATTCAGATAAATATATTATATTTAGCTATTTCATAACCAGCACTGGAAAGGTGACCCAATTTTTATTTCACTAATATTAATGTTTACCTTCATAAACTAGCAAACTTAAGCCAACCTAAAGGACAAACATTCGTGTAGAAATGCTTTTAGGAACTAATTACGCATGTCCGACACAGAGAGCACAAGCATGGTGACTGTGATATCAATGCAACAACATATGTTTAAATTTTATTATTTTATAACCGTCGTTGCACCACCAACCCCATTTAATAGGTTTACGACTACTAATGGTCATCTCCGTGGCCTTCTAATTTTGAAAACTTTCTAGAAGTCAAGGGAACTCCTACATCGAGTATTGGGAGAAATTTCGCTGTTGTGAAGGACATTTTAATGGAGCTAACCCGCATTTGCGTTACATGGAGAGGAAGACCATGAGAACCTCTCACTGTTAGCCTGGCGCAAAGGGGACTCTAACCCATGATCCGTTGTTATCACTGTGAGAATTCGTATCGCGAGGATTCGCATCCGGTTCGCCTCATTGGAAGCGAACGCTCTATCACCTGAGCCTTCGCGACTCAATGTTTCGAATGCATTACATTTAATGACGTCAGAGTCAGAGCACACTCTCTTACATAAAACATAAAATACATTGCATATTTTAAATAAACAGACAAATGATAAACTAAGTCTAGTTCAAAAATATGGGCAAATGTGGAAAGATAACTGAATCAATGGTTTTTAAATCCCATCTTTTGCAAAGATAATAAAAAATTAAGACTTTTATTTTTAAGTTCATATGTTTTACTTGCTATATTTTTGACAGTAGCTTTTAGCATCGATTCTTGATTTATAATGACATAATTACGGCCCGTCTCATGATCCTCATTTCAGATAAGAAAATTGTAGTTCTAATCTTATTAATAATTAATTTATTGCACTGTATTAAAATATATTACATTTAAATATATTTGAAGTAATTAGTAATTTTTGACTTTATAGTGGAACTCCTAGAACCTGTTGATGACTGTGGACCTCATGGTGGTTGCGGGTTCAAATACAACCCAGGTTTGTTTTGTTTTTTTAAAAATAATCCGTTTTAAATACTTGTTCATTCATTATATTCCATTCTTCTTATAATTTTCTTTTTTTAAATACAAAAGGATGTCAGGATCTTACAATGTATAATAGATCCATGTTTTGAGTGTCTAATGCCAAACATTATTTATTTTAAGGAAATATTTTCATAACATTAAAAAAAAAAAATCCCGTTCACAGCTCCATATTACTATTTGACAGTATTGATACACTAATAATTTAAGATGAAATTTAATTGACGACAAAAATCTATTCATTGAATTTCAATATAAGTGATTTAAACTCCCTCATTTTCAAGAAGCTCAGATTTATTGTTGCTAATAACAAATGTATTATAAAAACTATATTAAAAATAATCAAGTTTGCCCTGTGTCACTAGACGTTCGTCTTAAAGTATACTAATAACTGATAGTCCAGCGTAATTTTAATTTCCTATTAAGCAATTAATTTTGTATTGGTAGACCAGGCATTTATCAGTAATGTAATACTTAGATATTTAGATTCCCGTTAATGGTACCAAATATTTATTAGTACTTTGAAAACTTTTAATAAAAATATAACTTTAAAACAAAAATTGCATTATATTCAAATATTTTGAGAAAATTGCATCCATGTCGATAATTATTTGATCGGGATTTTAGATTAAAATGTTTCAAGGCTATAAGCTTTAGTTTTAACTTTACAGAACGTTTTAAGTGTAGTATAGATGCTTATGCTTTTTTTTATAAAGGAACAATAAACTTATTCTTAAGATTTCTACATGAGTTAAAATTCTAAAAATATTCAGATTAATATATTATATTTAGCTATTTCATAACCAGCACTGGAAAGGTGACCCAATTTTTATTTCACTAATATTAATGTTCACCTTCGTAAACTAGCAAACTTAAGCCAACCTAAAGGACAAACATTCGTGTAGGAATGCTTGTAGGAACTAATTACGCATGTCCGACCCACAGAGCACAAGCACGGTGACTGTGATATCAATGCAACAACATATGTTTATTTTTTTTAATTTTATAACCGTCGTTGAACAGCCGACCGAATTTAATGGGTTTACGACTACTAATGGTCAACTCCGTGGCCTTCTAATTTTGAAATCTTTCTAGAAGACAAGGGAACTCCTAGATCGAGTATTGGGAGAAATTTCGCTGTCGTGAAGGACATTTTACTGGAGCTAACCCGCATTTGCGTTACATAGAGAGGAAGACCACGAGAACCTCCCACGGTTAGCCTGGCGCCGAAGGGACTCTAACCCATGACCTGTCTACCACTGAGGATATATCATGTTATCACTGTGGTCGGCGCGAGCCGAATGCAGAATTCGTATCGCGAGGATTCGCATCCGGTTCGCCTCATTGGAAGCGAACGCTCTGTAACCTGAGCCTTCGCGACTCAATGTTTCGTATGCATTAAATTTAATGACGTCAGAGTCGGAGCACACTCTGTTACATAAAACATAAAATACATTGCATATTTTAAGTAAACAGACAAATGATAAACTAAGTCTAGTTCAAAAATATGGGCAAATGTGGAAAGATAACTGAGTCAATGGTTTTTAAATCCCATCTTTTGCAAAGATAATAAAAATTTAAAACAATATTTTTAAGTTGATATGTTTTACTTGCTATATATTTTTGACAGTAGCATTTAACATCGATTCTTGATTTATAATGACATAATTACGGCCCGTCTCATGATCCTTATTTCAGATAAGAAAATTGTAGTTCTAATCTTATTAATAATTAATTCATTGCACTGTATAAAAATATATTACATTTAAATATAGTTGAAGTAATTAGTAATTTTTGACTTTGTAGTGGTACCCCAAGAACCTGTTGATGACTGCGGACCTTATGGTTGTGGGCTCAAATCCAACCCAGGTTTGTTTTTTTTTCAAATATTTGGTTTTAAATACTTGTTCATTCATTATGTTCCGTTTGTCTTATAATTTTATTTTTTTAAATGCAAAAGGGTGTTAGGATCATACAAGGTATAGTAGATCCTTGTTTTGAGCTTCGAAAGCAAAACATTATTTATTTTAAGGAAAGATTTTTATAACATTAAAAAAAAATCTCGTTTCCAGCTCCATATTACTATTTGACAGTAATGATACACTGAAAATTTAAGATGAAATTTAATTGACGACAAAAATCTATTCATTGAATTTCCATTGTAAGTGATTTCGACATCCTAATCGACCATATGATCCAACACGACCTGATCAGGCTTCATACACACAGTAACCTTACTACCTCTTATACCAACAATGCGCAAGGCAACCCAGACTTTACCATTGGTAACCGCGAGGGTGAAACTTTAGTCAATGACTGGTTCATAAGTGGCGAACATAATGCGAGCTACCATAGACACATCATTTTCAACGTAAACCAAGAAACTATTCAACCAACATCCAACAGACTCAAAACAAACTTCGGCTATCATGAGAAATTCACACGACTAATTAAAAACAATGCACACAGTCTCAACACAGAATGCGAAGCAACTGCAACAGCAACATAATTAGATAAGGCTACACCACTGTCGCAGAGCTTCGGTCGGCGTTCTGCGCATGCGCACTGGGTACCTACATCTATTGCCCACGCACTGACGCTATTGCAGTCTTATTCTTCTTGTTTACGTTGTTTACTGAGTGTTTAAGACGCCTCCGATAATCGTGAGTCCCGCTGACTGTGAACTGCGGACTGTTATAAGATTTCTTAGTGCTAAAGGCCCAAAACCGATTGATATTCATCGTGAGATCTGTGCAGTTTATGGACAAAACATTATGAGTGATGGAATGGTAAGAAAGTGGGTGAGAGCAATTAAAGAAAGCTGCACAAATGTGCATGGTGAACAACGGAGTAGGCGTCCTTCAGTAGTTAATAAAAAAGTTTGGTGCAGGAAGTGGACAATAAGGTTAGAGAAAACAGACGCTTCACGATTTCCTCCTGGTGTTTTGACTTTCCTAATGTAGTGTTTTGTATATCATTGTGATCGAGCACTTGAATTACCGAAAATTGTGCTCACGCTGAGTACCAAAAATGTTGACGGATGAGCACAAAACTAACCGTTTAGGCAGTGCATTGACATTCCTTGAACGGTACCACAACGACGGTGATGATTTCTTAAGCCAAATTGTTACGGGCGATGAAACATGGGTGGCCTACGTCACACCAGAATCAAAGCAACAGTCCATGGAAAGGCGGCGTTTAGATTCACACAGAAAAGTAAAGTTTAAGCAAACAATTTCTGCTCGGAAAGTCATGCGCACAGTTTTTTGAGACAGAAAAGTAGTATTGCTTGTAGAATTTATGCTTCATAATGAGATAATCAATGCAGCAGCTTATTGTCAGGCATTTAACTATCTGCGCCGTTCTACTCAGAACAAAAGACGAGGCAATTTGAGGAAGGGCATCGTTGTGCTGCATGACAATGTTTGTCCGCATGTGGCTAATCAGGTCAAATATCTCAGCACATCTTTAAAATGAGAAACTCTAGATCATCCTCCATACAACCCTGATCTAGCCCCTAGTGACTACCATCTGTTCCTGCACTTGAAAAAACACCTAGGCGGTCAGCGTCTTAGAGACGATGACGAAGTCAAAACAGTTGTGATGCAGTGGCTAAGTAGTCAGGTGGCAGACTTCTATGAGGAGGGTATTCAAAAACTGGCACAACGTTATGACAAGTGCCTCAATGGTAAAGGAAATTATGTAGAAAAGAAGATAAAGGTACAGGCTTCCATGTAAAAATAAAAGTATTGAGATATCTTTGCACGTCTTCTTTTAATTTCAAAACGGTACTTACTTAAAAAACACGCCTCGTATTATATTTAGCTATTTTATAACCAGCACTGGAAGGCCGAACCAATTTTTATTTCACTAATATTAATATTCACCTTCGTAAACTGAAAAACTTAAGTCAACCTAAAGGATAAACTTTCGTGTAGGAATGCTTTTGCGAACTAATTACGCTGGTCTTACACAGAGAGCACAGGCCTGTGATATCAATGCAACAACATATGTTTAAATTTTTGATTTTATAGCCGTCGGTAAACAGCAGACACAATTTTATGGGCTTACGACTACTAATGTTCCAATCCATTGCCTTCTAATTTTTAACCCAATCCAGAAGACAAGGGAACTCCTAGATTGACTATTGGGAGAAATTTTGCCTTCGTGGAGAACATTTTGATGGAGCTTTATCCGCATTTGCGTTACATGGCGAGGAAGAACACGAGAACCTCCAACGCTTAGCCGGACTCCAAGAGGACTCTAACACATGATCCGTCTACCACTCAGGATATATCATGTTAAAACTGTGGTCGGCGCGAGCCGGATGCGGAATTCGTATCGACTGGGATACGAATCCGGTTCGCCTCATTGGAAGCGAAAGCTGCATCTCATGAGACTTCGCGACTTAATGTTTCAATTACATCATCTCTCTAAAAAGAATCATCCAGAGTATTTTTTTTTCATTTGAGTGCATTAAAATTAATGAAGTCCGAGACGGTACCCGCTCTGTTACATAAAACATAAAATGCATTACATATTTTATGTAAACAGTCAAAAGGTAAACTATGACTAGTCCAAAAATATGGGCAAATATGGAAGGATAACTGAATTATTAATGGTTTTTAAATCCTGTCCATAACAAAGATAATAAAAATTTAAGACTTTCATTTTTAAGTTGATATGTTTTACTTGCTACATTTTTGACAGTAGCTCTTTGCATCGATTCTTGATTTATAATCACATAATTGTGGCCCGTCTCATGATCCTTATTTCTGATAAGAAAATGGTAGTTCAAATCTTATTAATAATTAATTTATTGCTCTGTATAAATATATTGCATTTAAATAATATTTGAAGTAATTTGTAATTTTTGACTTTATAGTGGTACCCCTAGATGATGAGGACTGCAGATCCGATGGTTGCCGGTTCAAATCCCCCGCAGCGTATGGATGTTTCTCTCTCTCTCTCTCTGTGTCCTATGTCCTTTCTTCTTTGTGATTGCGTGAATGTAACCCGCCCTATAAACGGCTTTGTGGTTGTTTGACGTGGGCGACGCTGCTCCACCGCCGTGTCTTCGCCATAGGTGCCCACTGGGAATCGATAAGAGAGTAGCAGTTCTGGTATTTTTGAGGCCAATGAGAAATTGACCCAAGTGCTTGCCATTAACCAAAAAAAAAAAAAAAAAAGAATAATTCATCCTTTTTATTAGTGGCATTGTTTCCTTGCATGAAAGTATTCAACTAAGTACTTTTCGAACTAACTTCATCTTTTTCCATTGTAGTAAAACTTCCTATAATTTCAAAATAACTTACATAATATGAATAGAAATAACGAATTCTAAACAATTGTTTGAATTAATTTGTAATAACACTCATAGATCGATAATAATTTTTTCAGTAATTTTCACCTAGTTTTTAATACAAAAAATGTATATATACAATAAAATCACTTATGAGTTTTATGAAGTAAATGATAAAAAACGAAAAATATAAATGATATTGTAATTTTATTATATATTTGCTATATATTTAATAAGCTACACAATTATACAAGAAAACACATGCGAAAGACTATTACAATTGTAAGCAATAAATGCTTATAGACAGTTTCTTAAAATACAGTTGATTAAGGAAGTTTGAGATATTTTTAAATATTTACGTAATCTCAATAGTGTTATTGAAATTCTAAACGTTATAACTTTCCTTTCGGAGAGCAATGAAATATCACAGAATCGAATTGAATGTAGGGTTAAATAGTTCAAATCTAAAAAATGATATACTGCTCCAAGAAAAATGATTTTTTCAAATAAAGTATCATAAATTTGAGATAATTTTTTCTTTGATAAAGTGATGTAAAATTATCTAAAAATTTTCTGTGATTCTATGTTTACTCAAGATAAAAGCAACAAAAAAACTTCAAGCATCAAACGTTATAAAAACATCAACATATAGCTCTTTAATGAACATTTTTCAATTTTTTGTTTGAATTTTATTTTGTAGCTCTAAATTTATTAATTGTTCAGATTTATACAACTTCTTCTTATATTGTCAAAATGATATTACTTTTCTTTTCAGTGACCAATAAGATATGAGTTTTCAGCCACATAAAATTTTTACGAGAAGGAACAAGGTGTAATTCCTCCTGTGTTGAAATTCCAACAAATGATTATTGCATGAACTGTTGGAAAGCTGGTTAATTCATACTAATGTATTGGTGATAATATTCAACAAAATATATCTGGTGTCAATGATGCTATTTATAAACATTGATATTAAGGAATCTAATAAAAATTTATGTTAAATTAAATTGAGTATGTACTTATTTTTAAATATTAATCAACTTCAAAAATTCTTTTACGAGTGTTTTTATTCATAATTTTGCGGTGAAACAGTGAACCCGGTACCAAGTTTCGAATTCAGAGCTCTTTAATGACTCTCTCACCTGCTTAGCATTATCTTAAATTCAATTTAGAAATATATATGTTGCGGCGAATGACCAAAATTGGTGGTTGTTGACTTTCACCGGTGAATGTCGACAAACACCAAATACGTTGAAGAAAGATCGAATGTTTCATTCCATTCTAGTACATTCGGACCCTCACCGGTGTATGTCAACAATCACATAGTCGCTTTGTTGAATGTCTGAAATATTTGTTATGTCCAATTTTATATTAATTTATTCGTTTATATTATTATATTTATTTGATATATTTATATTTATTCTGTATTTTAATACTTACTGACGATAGATTAGAAGAAA